TATAAGAATGGTAAACTAGACAAAAGAATAAACTGGCTATTTATTCTGAATATAATTATAACATTCTATCTCAAAAATATACAATATGTTTGCCTACAGAATAAAGGAAATCAAAAATAGGAAATTTGCGAAGTGACATACATTGCCAAAACAAAATAATTCCAAAATAGTTTTTATTAGGAAAATGAAATCAGTTGAAGAATTATGGACAGACAGGAAACACTAGACAAATGTTAAGTCTTAGTTTGAGATTTACCATAACTAAGCCGTCATCAACTTCCCTGGGACGAGAGATAAAACAAAACAGTTCTCGAGGGGATCACAGGGTGAATTCAATTAAACTATACTTGAAAACCAAGGAGTGCTTAGTATTTATATCGTCCTTATCTTTTTTATTACAGCCGTGACCTTTGTCCTTTGACCTCATCAAGAGTGAGGCAAGTATTACAGATGGCACTGAATGATTGTCACGGAATGTCAAGAGTTAACTAAGCTTAAATATGTGAAGCTCTGGATTCCAAATCAGTATTATAGTGATAATCCATTTACCGAGTAGTTGGATAATATTAGTTTCAACCGTTGGCAAAATCATAAAGTAATAGCTATTGAACCATCACAAACAAGAACAAAGGAACTATCTAACATTTTCTAGTTTTTAACAGTATGCTAACTAAAGTTAGTTCATGAAGTAAATGACCTCCTAGTCAAAAAATCTCCATAAACGTCTCAATCTGAAAATACTATAAGTAAAATATTTTTTTTAAAACATAAATGACCTATATATTCTCAGTTATATATATTAGCATTTACACGACCTACATTTTTAGTCGAAGCTAATTCTATTAACATGTACGCTAGAAAATATATTATAATGAAATTATTTCTCAAATAATTAGAAAGTTACAGACTAAAGTCAACCATTCAGTTGAACTGTTGGGTTCATACTAAAAACAGGAAGCTGACTTGAAATTTCATTTGATGATTACTATCATATTTAGAAAAAATATTGTATTCACACCTATTGTCAACAAATTTATATAAAAATAAACTCAAGAAGGACTAAAAGTTTGAATGAGTATGAATGAGTTATTTTTATTAACCACTTCTAAGATAAAGAAAGGGTCTGACAAAATAACATACCTTATATGTGATGAGTTTTCTAGTCATAATTGAAGAATTGATCGAGACTTTTTATACAATAAAAGTTAACTTGCATTTTTCTATACGCAAACAGTTTACAAAAATCTGTTGTTATTCAAAGCTTTTATTAAGATTATTTTATAAATTTAATGAAACAAGACTGAGAATAAGTGGGATGTTTATTTCTAATTATACCTCTATTTATGAGCCTTCATCAATACTGTTTTGGGAACTAAATCATTGGAAAGGATTAATCAGCTAATTAGTTTTTCACTGCGAGAGCTCAATCCCTTCGTTATCATGATTTTGTTTGTAGTTTATCGTTCTTGCACGTTTTGTTGATTTTATGTGAATTTTATTCTCGATGGGTACTCTGTTCTGTTAACCTCTGACTATGTGACTAATTTTGCTGTGTATACCAATACATGGGATTTATTTCGATGAGTTTAGAAGTATCAGGTTGGTCTTAGTTCCATGTCTATGGACATTCTCTGGAATCTTTAGAATTTCAATAATTAAGAATGCTAACACTTTCTAAATGAATGATCTCTCATCATTAGAATTTGAATATCTCTTTATAAGTTAAATCGTCTTACCTAAATTTTATCTTAGGAAGAATCTTGTTCCGTAAAATCTTAAGTGATGTGCACCAGTTTTGTAACATTCTGAACAATGGCTTATCTTACTAAATCTTGAAATAATTCATAATTTGACCATTTCTTTATTGTAATATGTTAATCTAGTAATCATGGCTTTTTAAACTTTAAAATTTATATAAAGCAAGGAAAACATTATCTGGATCCCTTGAATTCCTTATATTTCAAGGCTTCTCATCAGCTAAAAACGTCTTGAATTCACAATAGTAATATTATTGTTACGTAACGTGGACATCCTGAAGGCGGTGAAAATAATTAACAAGTAGCAACCACCGCTTTTGCTTTGCCCCCAAATGCCCTGGCACGGCCGAGAGTAGGGAGAGTCCTCTCTCCCTCTCGAAATGCTCTCACATGGCCACGCGTATATGACCCCTGCCAGGGTAGTCTTACTCATTGCATTCTCGTGGCGGGGATTTTGTTTACGAAATCGAGAGGGCGAAAGGCGAATGTTTGGCGCTTTAACCGGGTTGGTGGACACGGAGGGTCCACCTAGGACAGTTGGGAAACCCTGATTCCAAACCAATAGTGCACATGGGCTCAAGGATCCTGAGGGGACAAATGGCGTATGAACCAATCGTTGGTCACCGGCTACTATGGGACTGCATCTCCATATGGTGCTCCACTGCCTTGTGGATCAAACCTTCAGGTCGAAGGCTCCGGGTGTGGCCCTCCAAGTAAACCACCTGATTCTTTTTGGGCACCCGTGCAGTATCACAGCCCTCACACATATCAAATGAGATTTGTGTGGAGCATATGTATTTGGTGCTTCCTTGTGTTCAAATAAATAAATAAATCTCTTTGCAGAGGTAATTGTTATCAAGTACTTTCGACCTGACCTTTGTATACAGAATGTGTAAACAACTCATTACCATGATAAGATAGTCATATTATTTTAAAGTCTACCAGTTACACCATTTATTTTAATTTATGAAGAAACTCCATTAAAATTCAGTTACGGTGTTACCTTGGATTTCATGTTAACCAGGGCCTTCAATAGCATCCCTTAGTTAACAATTTGTTTTTATTGATTGCCTTTTTATTATCACTTATAATCTCAACCAATTTTGTAAATAGCCTTGTCTTGAATATATCAGTAATAATCAATATTATTATATTCAATATGTTATCTTCTGTTCTTGTTTCTCATATTTTTTTGAACTAAACTCCATTAATTACGGTATGTGAAAATCTTTATAATCATATTCCTAATGCATATTTAATGTCTATACATATTTTTGTTTTAGAGTGATCTGTATGCCTGAATTTTGATGTCGACTTACCAGTACCTAGTTATCATGATTGCTTCTTCGAAAGTTTGATCTACTGGGAGATATGTTTCTTAGAAACTCTCTCACGTACGACAATATCAGCAATGGTGTTTTTATTGATTAGTTATTTTGACGTCCCTTACTTTGTTACTGGATTCACTTTAAAATTTAGGGAATGTTTGGTCTTTATGGAATTCATTCACGTCAACAACTCTTTCCACTATGATGATAATAATGTCTGGAGTATTTGTTACCTTTCTGGTTTAGTCATTCTCTCAGTAGCATCGTATCCTTCCTGGCCACTATTATTATATGGGTTCCGGTTCCCTACAAAATAAATCATTAATTTGTCTTCCTACGTGTGTGTTTGAATAAGCAGTCTAACTCCAACCGGTCGATGATCTTGTGCAACACTTTATTCATTGTCTGTGGTGGATAACTGTCACACATCCGACAGTGACTGTACCCCAGTGTTTACGGCTTTGCACTAAAAGTCCAGGAAATCCATCTTAAAGCTAGTCACTAGTGGGCAAATGATTATCGTCAAGATGGAGATTTGTGGAGTTTGTTGTATTTTCATAGTTGAATCCATGAGTCGATCTAGAGTTTAGGTGTTCGCGCGTGAAACTAAAGGTCCTAGGTTCGAGTTCCGCGTGCGGGGTCGTGAATGCTTACTTCTGAGGAGTCCCACACTGGGAAGAACCGGTCGTCCAGTGCTTCCGGGGTTTCAATGGTAGTCTAGCTTAGATAGATTCATAAAGCCAACTGTGAAACACATTTTTATACAAGATTTAAAAGTTAGTAGTATAGATTTCAGTTTATTATATAATTATGCATAGGATTTCATATCGTGGGGCAATCTAATAATTATTGAAAGTAGCTAGTTAAGTTAAATCAGACCTCAGGTGAACCTATTTCAAAAGGTAATTTGAAATATACCGTATCAAGTTTCAAGTTTCCTTATTATAATAAAAATATGTGACGTGTAAAAAATTTTGTCTTCTGCACGCTTCACTGAAAAGCATACACTAAACTGAATATCCTATATTCTATTGATAGGTGTTGAATAGAAAACAGTTCTTCAATCTTTAATTAGCAGGAAGTATTACTGGTTTCATGATGAGATCTATTTACTTGCTTGTAAATGATAGGAAAGAACTGACGGGAGGAAATGCAATTTTAGGGGAAGGTCGTTAGCTAGATGATTTTAAATGTTACTACATCAGTTTTTACTAACAACCATAGCGTATCTAAATATGCAACAGTGATACAAGTTTCCTATTAAACATATTACACCAATCAGAACATACTGATATACATCATTCCGCAGTTGTTATTTGTTACTATCAGAAATTCCTTACGCTCATTCTAGATGACTGAGGTAAATGAATAGAAACTAAATTCATGACAAGGTTGTACCAATAATTTGGAATGATAATTTGCATTTGTTTGTAGGAAATACTAACCATTAAATAAAAATGATATGTTGGCTACAGAAGAATGGTCACCATGTTATATGAATATTTTCAATTTTTTTAACAACAACATAAAATTATGCATTAAGGATAAGTATCTTTTTTTCGCACTATTCATTTTAAAGAATAACTGGTGCATACTTTAAGTCACAACTAAATCCCGGTTTTTCTTCCCAATATTTCTTCAGTCGCCACGTTGAATACGAACCATAAATGACTATTATAAAAGGAATAACTACCAACATCTGAATAGTTTTCATTTCCGGTTTCCTACATATATCTAATTATAGCAAATATACTAATGGGAATTTCCCTAGTCAATAGATTAAGATTAGACTTTAGTATTTCTAAAGAAAACTTACGAAATCTTAACCTATATAAGAAGAAAATGTTTTTATCAAGGTTAATGATGCTAAGCTATTATATAAGTAGTTATAATTATAAAAGAAATTATTACTTACCCAGCAAATGTTGTATACAATATGACAATTATCACAGCCAGTAGAAAACAAACACCTAATGTTACAAATATAATATTTAAAACTTTTCTTAATCTTGGCATTTGTAAATCTTCTAACTCTTCACCATTACCATCATCTTTGACACGTTTATCTTCAAGGAAACGTATTAATCTATCTAATTTACTATTTTTCCGTGGTCTGCGAAACCGTCTACGTTTTTTCTCTTTTTCACCATTTTCAGCTGTTTGTGCAGAATCCATAAATTCTGCATTATTATTATTATTATTATCAATGAGTGTATCATTCAACCGATTATTTGTTGCCGATACCTGATTAGATAACCGACCATTTAGTCGTTTAGACTTAGTATCTTTATTGTTGTTAGCATTAGTGGTAATAATCGCGTTATTAGTATTATCTGCTTGTGTAGGTACAAAATTATAGTGTGATAAATCTAATGTTCCAGTAGGTGAAGGGAATAATAATGATTGTTTCTGATCTCGTTTTCCATTAACAAATTTTATTCCAGGAGAATTAGGATTCAATTCAGTTGACAGTTGATTTGTAAGATTTCGTTGATGTTGTGTATCGTTGATACTAGTTGAATTTTGTGAACGTAGATTATTAGATGAAACAGGTGTTGGACTGGTTTGATGACCTTTATAAGAGGCTGGAATAAAAAATTGTGGTACTTTTTTATCACTCATTTTTGTATTCATAAATTCAAGAATAAGAGAATAACAGATGATAATTTACATTATAATGTTAAAATGTTTTCATTTTTTAATCAGAATAGTTAAGATTGCATTAAACATTCCTGCTAGTAAAGAATTCAACTGAAAGTCATTAAAGATAAATTATTTGCTATCTTTTCTTTTAACTCATATCTTTTTAAACAGATTTAAGTGGACAAATAGAAGTCATTCATAACTATCGGCCTAACAGTATAACCAATAGGAAGGCTTCTAGAATTATTTCCCTATATGATTGGACCAGAATAAATAACTTATTACCTGTAGCCATGTCACTAAAATTGATTATTAGTGTTTTGTAGTTGACTTTGAAACTGTTTATTCACTTGCTAGTCTAGACATGATAAGTGTTTGGGAGAGTGAATAGTTTTAACATTCAAAAATATGCAAATTACTATTGTGTTTTTAAATCGTGAAAAGTTACAAAATACCATTTATTCTATTTAGTAATTCATATATAACACACAACTAGAAGGTGAAATTGAATTATGTCTTGCTTGTTGGCAGAAAAAGCTTTCAATTATTACCATTGTTTTTGAACAGGAGTATTTTAGTAATTTATTAAATTATATATCTGAAATACTACATTTAGGTTAAATAAAAAGACGTGAGAAAATAATTGCATATTACACTCCTAGTACAATACCCTCTGATTTGTTTCTTTTCACTGTTGACCATTTTTACTCTCAAAACTTGACAACAAAAGCTAGGATCAATTAATGACCTTCTGCAGTATCGGTGGTTGAAGTAGTAAGGTCTGATGAAATGAAAATTATGTAACACATTATATTACTTTACGATAAGTTTAGGATTTTGAAGATATAAGGTATTGATGATTATTTTCATTTTGAAGATATTTAGGTGTTTACTACTTGCAAATATTTGGCAGATAAAAATATTTTATGCCGAATTATCGGATACTTTACTGACCACTACACGTTATCTACTTCTATAAAATTCAAATACATGGTTAATACCAATGATTCTGGAACTGGTATGCTATGCCAATAACAGATAGTGTACGAATATTGTACGAATTAACCCAGGTTTTATATAAAAATTACTATGGTAATTGGATGGCCTATTTTTAAATGTTACTGTTTGGTATGAAATACCACTGTACTCTTAAAATCAAATTCTTTGGAACTTATTAACTATAATGAAATTAGTTTCACGGCATATACGTTTCCTCAAATAATTACTTCTTTAGTTAGAACAAAATATTCTGTGGATAAATGTTTAAAATAATAGTAGTTCTAGATACAGATTCTTTCACTTACTAGTATGATAACACAAATTTATTTCTATATAAAAAAACGGTTAAGGAGACACGTTACCAAACTTAAAATCTTGTCAATTCATTTGAATTATAACTATGAAATAATCTTATATAATCAGAATGTATAGCACAGCGGTATTACATTCACTTGATATTGTTTACTTGAATTTTCCAGTTGATGTTTAGGGCTCAAATTGATCAGTCACTTATTGGCATATGTGCATACTGTGAGCATTGCCTCGATATTGCTTTGATTCGCATGCATTATAAGTAAAGATGTGTAGTGGCTAGTGGTGGTATCCAGGACGCACGTTTCGTCACACTTAAGACTCGTCAGCTGGATATACCTTCAACCGGAGTTCACAATATCAGGCAAAATGTTATAATATACTAAATAATAAAACTAAACTTCTCTACGAATTGATTTGAGTGACTTCAATTTCATGCTGTTTTCTATCTATATCATATGTGAAATTTGAAATATGAGATTTTGAGAAAATTAAAAATAATTGTTGTGCATCATTAATGATTTAAAAAAGAAAGAGGATAATTTTCAAAATTCTTGTTAATGTATCCATGTGCTTTTAAGATAAAACAGCTATATATAATGTTAGGGAAGTGAATTAGTATTCCGTGACAAGGAGTTTAACTGTGACGAAAACATTTGATTGTTTATTTTCATTTCAAAGAGTGTTAAATTGACGATAAGATAAGCAAAGTTGGATAGTGGTTAGCAGTGGGATCCAGGAGTCATAAATAGGACTAAACATGCGTCCTGGATTCCACTGCTAATCACTATCCATCTTTGCTTAGAATACTCCTGAATTAAGGCAATATCGGGGCAGTACTGACAGTATGTACATTTGCCAATAAGGAACTGATCAACTGGAGTTTTAAAAATCAATGAGAAGATTCAGGTACAACCATACGAAGTGGATTTGACGATGAGATGTTTCAAATTTTAAAACCAATATTGATGAGCTAAGACTCAAATTCAATCTAATCTCAAAAATTTCGATATGTCAAAAAATGAATTCATTTATTTATGTTTTTTCTGATAATCTGATTAATGATTATCCACTTTGAAGGGAAAGCTTATGTGATAATTAAAAATATGTAACTACTCTGTTTAACACTGAACATAATTCTTGTTTTGTTTTTTAGTTCAGAAAACTGTCAGTGAATGTCCTTGTGATTTATTGTAGATATTATCTTGTAGAAGTTTGTTTAAAGTTAATTTCTACACAATTCTATGAGACCTATAATGATCACATTAAAAATCTGCTTTATTTTTCATTGAAATTTTGATTGCTTGCAAATTTCAGATAGCAGTGAGCTAATCATTCATCAATGATACCAAATGATGGTCGTAACATACTAAAAATTTCGTAAAAGTGAGAAGCTAAATCATTAAATTTTGACATAGCAGTTCGATGGTGTCATGCGTACTGACGGGGACTTGTAGAGCCTTCATATACAACCAAACACTTATCTGTATTATTCTTTCTTTTAGGCTTAATTTGTCAAAGTGAAACAATGAAGTGACCTTTCAGAACATAATTATAGAATTTAGCCATTTTGTATAAAAATCAATGTTGAGTAAAACTACTGTGTATGTGAAACGTTTAGGCTGATAATTTTGGAATTACAGTCATGACTTATAAGCAACGTGATCCTACATACATTTTTTCATCAATTAAATGTACTAAGTAGACCTTAAGTTATTTGAAGGATAACCCCAGTAAAACATTTTTTTAATTCATATTTCCGTAATGACTATTAGTGTCAACTGACTAGCTGTCGTTATTTTTAGCTTGCTAATTTTGTTATTCCAGAATCATCTAGTGTTCCTATATAAACAGAGTAGTTTCGTCTTTTTTTGAATTTCGTAAGAAACCTTTCCTGAAAGTTTCATCTTAGCTTGTGGATTAATTAAGGATGAAGAATTATTGTGGATCATCCGTCTAGCCTAAGTGAGTTCACATATTTTATAGTTGATATTAGAAGATTCTGACTGATTCAAAATTAGAAATTATCATTAGACAATAATCATTATCGTATTCTAAAACTTAATATAATGATTACCTAGTTTCATTAGCACAATTTTTAATTGATTTACAAACACTAAACTATCGAATATTTACTTATTTAACTTGGCAGAAACGATATAACATAATGATAACCCTGACTTTCATTTTCATTATTGTTGCCAACTAAGTTTTTTTATTAATTATTCAAGTCTAAAGAAAAACAAAACAAAAGAATAAATTGTAAAAAATTATTCAAATGCTTGAGAAAGCTTATTAAAACTTAATAATCACTTGTTCATAAATTCCTAGAGAAATATTAGAGAACAAAATGAAATTTATTAATAAATTATGTGCATAAAATGCTTAAGAATTTAAGTTTTAAACAATATTTTATTTAATAATTGAATTAATGAGTCGATTAAAGCTAGACTGCCATGGAAAACCTGGAAACACTGGACGGCTGTTTCGTCCTAGTATGGGACTCCTCCGTAGTGCGCGTCCACGATCCCACTTGTGTGATTCAAACACAGGACCTTCGATTTTGTGCGCAAAAACTTAACCTCCAGATCACTGAGCTAGTCAGCATCCAACGGTGTTTATGTCTGACTTCAAACAACCCATAAAATTGCCCCACCGTCCACCATTGTCTTCAGTGAGTTACTGCTTCACAACAGACACGGTTGAACTCCACTGGTCACTGCTCCTGACTAGAATTCTGGGAAATACCTCTTTAAAATATCAAATCAGATTTTTATTAATTTCAATGTTTGCACAATAAACTTAAAAGTCCTTCAGATTGGTGTTTCGGTCTTTTGATTTTATATCGAAATAATCGACCATTAGACTAAATCAATAATATCGGAATACAGTTCAAGAGAAGTTTATTGAATTCTGTGAGAACTTGACATGGAAATTTATCTATTCAACATTAACATGGGCTCATTAATACTACTGTGAAATGCGTATTATATTTGTTATTTTTCCTGATGGTAATTCTTTCGACAATATTACACCAGTATATTTTTTTCCAATTTACTATCCACTTAGGTAAAGTTTTAGTAGTAAGTTTAATTCCTTTTGAGAATTTATAGAAAAATACCATGCACTTTCATTTCTTTTGTTGGTAAATTAAGGTTTCATTAGCTTCTCTGGAAACAGCATGTATCAGTTATGTTCTACTCTTCGATTCAATTGTGATATACTCTTCTTAACGTTTATCAAGCTATCTTTGCAGAGTAAGAAAGTTAATATTGTGTCCATTCCGACTTTAGTGTTTGAATCTCCCATCAGGACGATCAGGTTCTTTCCTGAGCACTTCGCACCTGTCGTAAAACTGATTTTTATCGTCGTCGCTGCTATCATCAAAGGGTATATAACACTAGATAACATTTATTGTGATTTCGTCCTTCTTTGTTCTGAAGAATATTTTGGTGATCCTGGATCCATGAGATTCCCATCGTATAAGTGGATTTCGTGTTTCTTTGGACAGCATCAGAGCAACTCCATGTATTTTTTTCTCTTCATGATCACAGTGCAACAGCATCTCTCCTGAATATAAGCTTTTCTGTCCAGCTTCAGTCCAATGGGTTGCGCTGATTTCGTGGGCCGCCAAGTTGTATCTCCTCATTTCTTTTGCAGTTTGACCGGTCCTCCTAGTCGCCCACATTGTCCGGACGTTCCACGTACCTATAAAAATTGTTGCTCTGGTTGTTAGAAGAGGCACCAGCCTCATGACTTCCGAAGAATCTCGGATTTCTTTGAACTCAGAGGGCGGAATTTAAATGGTCTAAGTTGTTTATTGTGTTTAGCTTTTTTGTTTT